CTAAACTATCCTCATGGAAATCAAAAACGCTCTCATTCGGCGGAAGGTTGACACTAATCACCTCGGTACTAGGGAACCTCCCTACATATTTCCTTTCCCTTTTTAAAGCACCGGTGGCTATCACAGAGAAACTTGAACAAATTCGGCGAAGATTCCTATGGGGCGGGGATGAAAGTAACAAGAAAATCCATTGGGTTGCATGGGACAAAGTCGTTGCTCCCAAAACTGAAGGTGGACTAGGAGTGGGATCTATCTGTACGCTGAACACAAGCCTACTAGTCAAATAGTGGTGGCGTCTAAAATTCAAAAAAGACTCGCTTTGGGTGAAAGCCCTAAAAGGAATTCATAACCTAAGCAATAAACCTCATGATTACCTGTCAAGCAAGAAAATTAGGGGTGTATGGAACAACATTGCAGAATGTAGGAAATAACTCATGAAATTCGGACTTGGAATTGATTATGTGTTCAAACTACATGTAAAATCAGGTGAGAATACTTTATTTTGGCACGATAAATGGCTAGGACCAACTACACTTGGAGAAAAATATCCATCTCTCCTTGATCTTGAATCCAGGAAGAAATGCACTGTGGCTGATAGAATTGTAAACGGACACTTTGAGGGGCATTGGAAATCGCAAGTGGAAGACGAAGGAGATGTCAACAATGTAAATAACCTAATAAAAGATCTATCGGAGGTGCGGTTGGCACAAGGTGAAGATCAATGGAAATATGCTGTCGATATTACCAGCCCCTTCACGGTAGGCACACTAAGAAAGAAATTCGATCAACTATTATACCCAAATCGCGTACTTCCATGGTTTAGATGGAATAAAGTGTCCCCGATCAAAGTAAATTGTTTTATTTGGAGAGCAACACATAAGAAGATCCCATCCGCGGTGGCTTTGAGAAACAAGGGCGTCGATATTGAACATGATAATTGCGGGGCTTGTATTAACGGCATTGAATGTTCAGATCATATTCTCATATCGTGTCCTTTCGCCTACGAGGTCAGGAAACAGGTTTTTAAATGGTGTGGCATACAACAGGAGGACTTTGCATCTGTAATTGATTTACTCAGTTTCGCAACAAATTGGGGAAGATGTCCTAAGAAACAGAAGAGATTCATCTCCATTTGTCATGGCCTAATTTGGAATTTATGGAAAAATCGGAACGACCGGTGTTCAATAGGGTATTTGTAAATCCAACATTGAGTTTAGGGACAGTCAACTCTTTGGTGTTCTTTTGGTTGAAGTGCAGGGGCAAGGGCGGAATTTGCGGCTGGAATGAATGGTTTCTTGTCCTTTTAAGTTTAATTCCTCTGTATCTCAAATCATGTAATTGTTTTACTTTCTTGTTATTCTTGTTTTGTACTTTTGGGCCCTCGCTAGTTACTTGCTAGTCCGGGGGTTCTTTTTAATACAAATTGTCGTTTCCAAAAAAAAAGAGTTTGTGAAATAATTTCGGACACTTCTAGAAACACAATAATGGAAACCGTTGTTTCACGAAAGAAAGCGAAAACTAGTGTTTCCAATGAATTAGAGGTATATTTAAAGAAGGTTGATATGGGATCTAATGAATTTAACAACTATCATAATTTTGAGTGGTGGAAAGAGAAAGGTCGCCATCAATATCCTATTTTGGTAGAAATGATCCGTGATATACTAACTGTCCAAGCGATTAGCATGGACATGGAATTTGTTTTTGTTTAAATGGCAGGGTTTTGGACAATATGAGTAATACGCTAAGTCCACGATGGTTGCAAATGCGAAGTTTCTTAAAGAATCATTTTGAACAAGTGGGACAAGGAGCGAATTTAGTTGAAGATGATGTATATAATAGAAGTGAAGATTGTATTTCGTTTTCTGATAGCTCATATGAATATGGTTCATATCGAAGTGATTGATAGCTCAGATGAAGATGGATCATATAGAAGTGTTGTTCTTGTTTCGTTTTGTGATAACTCAGATAATAATAATAATAATAATAATAATAATAATAATAATAATAATAATAATAATAATAATGGAATCCGTTTCACGAAAGAGTGCGAAAACTAACATTTCTAATACACTAGAGTTATATACAAAGACGGATTTCCAAAATGTTATGATTTCTAATGAATTTGTGAACTTTGATATGTTGGAATGGTGGAAAAATAAAGGTTGACATCAATATCCTATTTTGGCAGAAATGGTGTACGTGATATACTAACTTCACTCATAATGTTGGGTTCGCTAGAATTCAAGAAACCCAAATTTCAAACCTCTCTCTAATCGACTTTCAAGCTTGCTGGGGAAATTCTGGTTTTGATATGGAAGGGGTTAACTCCACTGGTAGATCAGGTGATTTTGATATTGCTGGGGAAATCCCCCTCCAGGAGCCGCTGACAGCATTTGGGATAAACACTTATTCTCCAAAATATACTCCATAAAATCTAGATTTTTCATTGCTGTCAGCGGCTCCTGGAGGGGGATTGATGGTGAAACAACTATTGTAAATGTTTATGCACCTCAATCTGCCTCAGAGAAAAAACTTTTATGGGATGAACTATTGGAGCTAAGAAGATCAAAACAGGGGACATGGATATTCTGTGGAGATTTTAATGTGGTCCGATGGCCTTCCGAAAGGGTGAACTCCCAATTCTGCAGATATAGTGCTATGTGTTTCAATAACTTCATTCATGAAGTTGGCCTGACGGATCTAAGTATAGGTGGAAGGCGATTTACCTACATGAGAGATGATGGTCTAAAATTAAGCAAATTAGACATATTTTTGGTGTGTTCTAACTTCTTGACTGCTCAACCTCATTCCTCTGTCACAACTCTTCCCCGTGAGTTCTCTGATCACTCACCCATCATCCTCTCCAGTTCTCAGACTGATTTCGGGCCCCTCCTTTTCGCTTTTTCAACTCCTAGATGCTCAATAACAACTTTGACCAGATCTTCAATCAATCATGGTCGTCATTCTCTGGATATGGTCTGCCGGATATGTTTCTCCTTGCAAAGCTTAAACACCTTAAAGCTGCAATCAAAACTTGGACAGAAATTGAATCAAACAAGGAGAATCTGGAATTGGATACTCTTAAAAAGGAGATAAATAGACTTTGATCTGGAAGCTGAATCATGGATCTTGACTGATCAACAGATGGCAACTTACAAAATGGGAAAACAAAGATTAAGGGAGATCACAAAGTAAAAAAAAATGGATTTGCAGCAAAAGTCCAGGATTAAATGGCTAGTCGATGGAGACGGAAACTCATGCTTCTTTCACGGAATTCTTAAGTATAACCACCGCAAAAACAAAATTCATGGGGTAACCATTAATGGTGCTTGGAATACCGATCCTGTCACGATTAAAGAATAAGTGCACAACTTTCTTAGGTTGAAATTCCATGAGTCATGGCTGAATCGCCCCAAGTTCATTAATAGTCTATTCAAGAAACTATCCACTGAAGAGGGCCTATTTTTAGAAAGAAATTTTGGTGTAGATGAAATAAAAGCTACTGTTTTCGAATGTGGAAGTGAGAAAGCGCCGGGACCGGATGGATTTACATTCAAGCTTCTAAAATCCAAGTGGGAGATTATAAAAGATGATATAATGAGATTTGTGAAATTATTTGAAGAGACTGGAAGGAATTCAAAGGTCTATGACTCATCATTTATTACTCTCGTTCCAAAGATCAAAGATCCTGTCAAACTTGGTGATTATAGACCCATCAGCCTTATTGGTTGTATGTATAAAATCATCACCAAGGTTCTCGCTTCTAGGCTTAAGGTGGTGATTGGTAGCATTATAGATGAGACACAATCAGCATGCGTGGATGACAGGAACATTCTTGACGGGCCCCTAATTATGAATGAAGTATGTACTTAGGCAAAAAAGTTGAAAAGGAAAACTTTTTTTGTTTAAAGTTGATTTTGAAAAAGCTTTTGATTCTGTAAACTGGAATTTCTTGGACTCAATCATGGAGCAGATGGGTTTCGGAACTAAATCGAGATTATGGATTTGGGGGTGCTTACAATCCGCTAGGGCATCTGTTATCGTCAATGGCTCTCCCACCCGTGAATTCCTGTTATTGAAAGGTGTCCGACAAGGTGATACCCTTTCACCTTTTCTCTTCATTATTGTAATGGAGAGTCTGAATATAGCCATGAAAACCGCTAGTACAAAATCCATCTTCAGCGGCATCAAACTTCCAAATAATGGTCCTCTAATATCGCATCTACTCTATAACGACGACGTTATATTTGTGGGTGAAGGGACTCATTCTAACATAAAAAACATCTCGAGGATTCTTAGATGTTTCCAAGTCTCATCGGGGCTGAAAGTTAATTTCCACAAATCAAAAGTGATTGGGTTATATGTGGAGAATAGTGAAACTAGGAGTTGGGCGATTGAACTGGGATGTCTAATGGAGTCTCTCCCATTCATGTACCTCGGAGTTCCGGTAGGGGCAAACATGTCACGAAAAAAATACTGGCAACCTGTTATTGAGAGATTTCAGTCTAAATTATCGGACTGGAAAGCTAGACATTTATCTTCTGGTGGAAGGGTGACGTTGATCAAAGCGGTTCTTGGAAGCTTGCCGACCTATTACTTCTCATTATTCAAAGCACATGCGTGTCTTATTGAAGAATTAGAGAAGCTGAGAAGAAACTTCTTATGGGGAGTTTCAAGCACTGGGAGGAAGATCAACCGGATCGCTTGGGATAAGGTTTTATCTTCAAAAAAAGAAGGTGGTCTAGGGATTGGGTCACTCAAGGCGCAGAATTTGGCACTGTTATGTAAATGGCTTTGGAGGTTATATAATGAACCAAGCTCTCTTTGGAGCTCGGTCATTTATGGTATCCACAATCTTGAAAGAAAACCATGGCAGTATTTCTCGGAAAAAAAACTTATCAGGTGTGTGGCAAAATATCTCCAAAGTTGTTGACGATCTTGCTGGGATGAATATTAATGTTGATGATATCTTCCAACAACATGTATTCTCGTGAAACAAAATGTTGTTGTGGAAAGACAAGTGGATTGCCCACAAGACACTTCAGGAACTGTTTCCACACTTATACGCTTTAGAATCCCGGAAAACTTGTTTCATTTCTGAAATGAGAGAGGGCGGAGTTTTTAAATGGGAATGGAAATCAACTCCAAATTCTGATCCAGCTAACCAAGAACTGGTTGACTTGAACCTAATTTTATGTGATTATAACTTTTTGCAGGAACATGATAAATTCCGATGTAAGCTCAATCCAGACGGTGAGTACACACTAAAGGCCCTACGGAGACTTGTTGATTCAAAAATCACGAATATAGGAGGCGAGCCTTTTATATGGCTACAAATTGTCCCGACAAAAGTATCCAGCTTTGTATGGAGGATGAAGCAAGGGAGGATTCTGGTAGCAGTTGAACTGTCAAAGCGAGGTGTTCAAACTGACTCACGGATCTATAAACTTTGTAATATAGGTGAAGAATCGGCAGATCATCTGCTTATGAGTTGCGCTTTTGCTTCAGAAGTCATTAAAAGAACTCTTAACCAGTGCGGAATTCGTCAAGTGCAATTTACAAAGGTGAAGGAATTGCTTGATTTTGGTGCCCGATGGGGGAATTGACCCAAAAAACGCAAACAACTATTAGCCATTCTATATGGGCTTATTTGGCGAATTTGGAAGGCTAGGAATAACATAATCTTCAATAACATGGTTCAATCCCCTACATCGTTAGTTGATGATGTCATCGCATTGGTTTTCTCTTGGCATAAATTTCGGGGGTCGTTTTACTCATGCAGTGGCGGAGGCTCTTAGGGGCCAGGAGGAGCCATGCCCCCCCTGCTTTTACGCGTTATAATACTTGTACATATATATGATTTGGAAAACTCAATTTTTTTAAGAAGAAAGAGAAGGTAGAGTTGGGAACCTGGAATGTTCTCCTTTTTACGGTGCAAAATTTGATAAATTGAAATCTAAATCAACCAAATCGTTTTTGGATATAATGTTCTTATTCTTTTAATGGAAATAAAACTCCAGCAATAATAATCTAAATCAAAATCTAGCAAATCCTACCATCAAACCTTATCAAGTATCAAAATTTTAAAATCGTTAATTCAAATGAAACCTCAAAGGCTCAAATGGAATCCATCAAATCTTTTATGAAACCCATAAAAATATTAAAAAAAAAACCGAATCTGAAATTCAAAAAAACAACAAAACCCTAACCGCTTTGCGCTTCTATGTTCACCATCAAAACTTTTATGTCGCCACCGTGCTCGCTAATGGAATCACATCGTCGCTTATCGCAACCTCGACATCTTGGAATCCCGAAGGTCTTCCCGTCTGGAGCTATCGCAATCTCGATGTATGTACTCATACTTAATTAATTACTCCACTCTCATCGACTCATTTTATGGGTCTCTCATCTCAGTTATTCTCTTATTTAAATTGTAATTTGTGAGATTATAATCTTCAATTCCATATCTTTAAACTCTAAGATTTTAGGATAAATTCCTTGTGAATAATAGTTTATAGGCTAAAAAGATGAGAATATAAGATATTTCTAGGGTAAAAAGAAGATTTTTTTTCCTGTGAGAATTTGTCTAGGGTATTGTGATTGTGAGAATTTGTCTAGGGTATTGTGATGACTGATGTGGTAATGATAATGCAGATAGCTTTTTTCCTTTCTCTCTATGCAAATTTTATATCATTTTGTTTATTTTATACTATTTTCATTTTTATTAGATATTTTAATATAGTAATAAATATAACTATGTTTTTACTTATTCATCAACCTACATGACTTCTAATTTGTTATGCGTTTGAATTTTATGTATTGCAAATTAATTTTGAACTAATTTTAATAATATGTTGACATGTATAGTAATATTTAGTTATATGTTTTCATATAAAATCGTTTGTTAACGATTGTATAATTTAAAAGAAAGGTTGTCAAGATTATAAAACAAATGTAATTGATTGTATTGAAATGACAAGTTTTGATAAAATGCATGTTCAATTGTGTAGAGGGTAATGAAGATATTATACTTTGTTGTTTTCTTATTATGATGGTTGGAATTGAAGTTATATCTCATTCCAATGTGCCTCGACTCTTATATCTCCGACCCCTAGTTTTAATGTCCGTGTTCCGCCCCTGCTTGGACGTTTGAATCAACCAATGCATGAGTTATCAGCATTTTGAGATAAAAGAATGACAGTTTTGGGTGTTTGTGACTTTATCAGCCATGCGAAGGCTTAAAGTCACTGACTTTATGGAGTAAGAGCCTTTAGGGAGTCCAGATCTGTGATATGAGCCAAGGTCTTAACTGATTAAGACGAAAAGAGTAGAAAGAGCAAAACCGGGGCATACGCCGAGCGTAATCCTAGTACGTGCAGCGTAGGGTTGAGAATCCCCGATGCATGCGTGGCATCGGAGTACGCCCAGCGTAGAGATCTTGTACGCGCAGCGTACTCGCTGGCGTTGACTTTTGGTTGACTTTTAGGCTTGGTCAATTTGTGGACTATTAAGGCCATTGAGGGGTAAAATGTTCTTTTACCCTTCTATGAGTTTGTAGAAGGGTTAGTTTAGCTTCTTGAGAGTCGTGATTAATTAGGGATAATTGTCGTATGTGTTAGGCGGAGGCTAGACCGGTGATTTGAGTTCGAGATTATCCGATTTCTTGCGAGGTGAGTCTTCTCACTATACTTACCATGAGTGGTGTCTTTGTGTGACCGAGGTGTCTTATGTGCTTACCTATGTATTGTGATATTCCGCATTATGTCTTTGTGATTTATGCTGAGTATTATTATTATGAGCTTATTGAGTTAGGACCGGAGGGTCCACCCGAGTTGTGGGACTGGAGGGTCTCCACTGAGGCACATTGACCGGAGGGTCGTATTGAGTTAGCCTTGAGTGGCTAATGTGATGTGTGTGTTATTTTGGGGAACTCACTAAGCTTCATGCTTACCGTGTTATGTGTTATGTGTTTCAGGTACCTCTCAGGATCACTGAAAGGCACCGGCTTGATTGTACACACACCCGAGTTGGAGATATGTTTTTGAAGGATTCCTGGATTTGTGTTATAAACAGTTTTTGGGACATGTGTTTTAATAACTTGATGTTTGTGGCATTTTGTGATTTTGAAATGAGATAATTGGATTTTTAAATGAAAATTTTTGTTTGAAAAATTTGTGGTGTTACACATCAAGTGTTGTTTAAGCTTATGGAACTATTGTATTGAAGGTTTCAGTATGCATATAGTTTCATCCCTGAAATATCTGGTTTCACACTAATCACATCAACTATTGTTTAAGCTTATGTTTGTCCTTATTTGCATCAAAACTTCAAATCATTGATGAGGTAAATCTATATGATCATGCCATTTACTTTTTTTCATATGATATTGATTGATACAAAGCATAATTTGGACCAAAATGAATGATAAATTACTAAATATAATGAGCAAAATGATATAATTAACTAGATTATAGAAAAAAATTAAATATATAATTATCGTTTTTTTTTGTGTGAACGTACGTTGACATTTGCCCCTATAGTAATGTTTTAGCTATTGCTTACCTTTTAATCTTTGCAATTTTGAAAATGATACATTGAACATTATGTTATTGTAGTAATATTTAGTTTCAATTGTTGGAAAATGGTATCATCTTCCATATTTACCTCCCTCATTTATCATACTTGTCCTTTTATAGAGTGGCAAAGTTACCATGCTCCTGTGATGATATTTTATAATTGATACATGTATGTTGCTTTCAAGTTTGTTCTGTTGAATTCTAAATTAGAAACTTCCATGATTTTATAATGATTTTCCTTAATTTTATTTTATTGTTCTTAATATTCATATGATATAGTGCTTCTTTTTGGGATCTTATTATCCCATTGTTGTTCAGATAATTTGTGGTTTTGCTAACTTAACTATATGGTGGCAAAGTAAAGTACACTTGCTAACATGTGTTAATATTTTAATGAAAGACTAGTTTATCTATTAATTGAAACATCAAATTCACTCTTTACTATAACCCTCGCTAGCCACTTATTTTTTTAGACTTGAGTTTCAGGTTGGCACATACAAGAAGAAGGCTGAGTACATGTCATTATTGGTGGTGGTTATGAGGTTAATTAAGATAGTTTTTGGTGTTAATTTAGATGTTTTCTGTTGGGTCTTGAGGTTAATTAAAAAATAAATAATTTATTATTTTCAATGTTCATTTTCATTAAATACTTGGGTGTTTCTTTTTCAAAGTAATGAATATATTATGATGCAATCATAATGTTTTCTATCCAAAGTATGTTGTTATTTCTTGCATATTATATGGGTAAATGTCACTATAGCCCCACAATGTTTTGAGTTTTGGTCGATTCAGTCCCTTAACTTAATTTCTTGCTTTTTAAGGGATTAAAGTCCATAGCAACCTGTCTATTTTGCCATCCTAACCGATTGTAGCCTGTTTCACATGCCACGTCAACTGAAATTGCCAAATCATCACCAACATGGACTCACTTAGCAAAATCGACGTCACTTAGAACAGTTGAAGATGGAGATGAATTTTTGTGTTTATGGAACTTACTTTGAAAATCAAAATCATCGAAAGCACTTGACATGTTGATTATCGAAGTAGTCAAATTGATTCTAATGCGTCATTGATTTGGATATCAAATAACTGAAGAACACTCAATGTAAAAGTCAAAATTGGTGTTTACTGATGTTTCGATAGTCACTAGTTCTAGATCGACGTTTTATATGTGGTGATATCGAAGTTTAGATGAATGGTTAGTGAATTACCAGAGAATGGTCAAAGCATAGAATTGAAAAGTCAAACTTAGAGTTCTTCTGGTTAAATAGAATCGAAGTGAAGTCTGTGAAATCAATTGCAGATTGAAGTGTGAATTGGAAGCAAAAGAAAAAAAATGTTAGTCGAAGTGGTAATATTGATTCGAAATGGTTCAAGGATTCAAGATTTCCAATTTCCTTAACTTCATCAGATTTCCACTGGAAAACTAATTCTGTCCTACCCAAAATTCCCTTATCTTTGTCTGATTTCCAATTTTTCAGGGATACTTCCAATAAGAAAATTCTCATTCAACATTAAGGATTCAAGATTTCAAAGTTTTCCAACTTCAGAACTTAAACCACCAGCGAGACTGTTATCGCTTAGATCGAGAATACGAAGAGATTCAAGTTTGAAAAGCGATTGAGTAATCATACCCTGGAAACAATTCACACTCAACATTAATCTTGTCAAGTTCCGAAGAGAGACAAGTTCGGGTCAAAGTCCACCTTCAAGCGAATTCGTGCTCATATCCAAGTAATAGGAAAAGTTGGTCGGCAATGGAGTCATTGAAGTTGTTCTGCGTCATGTCAAGATGAACAACTCTAGTGAGGTTACCAAACTCATCTCCCGGGATCTCACATACCAACGAATTCATGGAGATATCGAGGAATTTTAGGGATTGGATTTTGAAAAGGGGATTCAAAATACTGGAATACACCAGAACATGGTCAACAAACAGAGGAACGACGACGTCAAGGTGGAGCTGGGTGACGATTCTGGTTTTGTTTATGAATTTGATTATCGAAATGAGTTGAAGATCAAAAACTTCA